GGGGGTTGGTAAGGGGTATGGGAGGGGGTTAAAAATTTAAAAAAATCATAACTCCAAAATTACAGTAGCTAGCGAAACGCGGTTTTCAATTTAAGATTAGGAATAATATTTGTAACAAAATTTGTAATAACATCAAAATCAGTCAAAGTCGCAGTTTTTGAGATAAAAAAAATTGGAAAAATTCCTTTACTTTGAAACTAAAACAACTGCCTACCAACTTTTTATTAACATATTTTATTATGAGCGGCTATACGTGCCTTCCGGCGCCAATTTTTTGACTTTATTTGATAGAATATGACATTCTAAATTACATTTAGTAAAAGACAGAATTGACATTTAGTAACTGACAGAATTACATTTAGTAAAAAAATAGTATTTGGTTAATTTGGTTAAAATTAAAAACCGCTAAACCGGGTTTTTGAGTTATCGTGTTACAGACAGACGGACAGACAGACAGACATCATGAAAATATTTTGCATTTAGGTCATTTATGACCCAAATAACTCATTTTGAGTGAAATTAAAAAAACTTTTATTTTGCCGATCTTAATAGCCTACCATACCTGTTGGTATGGTCGGCTAAAAATACCGAGGGTACCTACCGTTTAAAAATCAAAAGTTGTAGAAATGACTATTCGGTGTAACAGAAAGTGACCGAAAATAATTGAATACGTCAATCAATCCTGATTTAAGTCATATACTAAAATACATAGTTATTAGAGGTGAGCCACTTTTAAAAAACGCCCGGTATATTCAATCTAACGCTCAGCTAGCAGGATGTATCGGAAATTAACGACTGGCCGTAGCGGCGCGGCGGCACAGGTAATTTTGCGATAAATATTAATCTCGTTAAACTGGGTTATGAATTAAAACGTTGCAGAACGTTACAAGGTGAACTATCTACGAGAATCCCTCGAATTCTTCTGCAGGTCTAAAACTTACTTATTAATAATAAGAACCGTTTGATTTTTTAATCATTTCTAGAGTTAGATTTTAAATAATTTACGAGTATACGTTAAGGTGCGTTTAGACTTGAGCACGCACGCACTGAGCATACGCGAACGGCATTCGTTTGTGCTCTTAGCTCGGTTTAAATTAAAAACTTATTTTTGGACGAATGAAGTGAACCACTTGTTGGCGAAGAGCAGAGTTGTGTTGGTGAAAACAATGGACGACCAAGAAATAGCCGCGGCTGCATTAATTTTTATGTACAGTTTAAATGGAAGAGTAATGAAAGTTACAGTTCACAATTAAAAAGAACAACTGAACACGTCGCGTCGTTGCTGGTGGCACACCCAATTTTGATAATGAAAACGAAAATAAATTAAATAGTTCCACTCAAACACACACGCAAAGCAAATTGCCGTTCAAACTCAGCGTTCGCGAACACATAAAATCCCTTTGAACAGCGACCAAAAACCGACACCAGCGCGCGACTGCGTTACACGACTGTTCGCGACAGATTCGGAACCTGAGCATTCGCGCACCTGAGCATTCGCGAAGAATCAGTGCGCGTGTGCTCAAGACTAAATGCACCTTTACATACGTAAACGCTGCCTTAACGTCACCCCTGCTTTGAGGTTTGGTTTTGGTAGTGGATGAACTCCTAGACAAATTAACTCTAGCGCGAATACCCTGCATAGGGTATGCAGACGACATAGTCATGATCGCCCCAAGGAAAATATGAAGGCATGCTGTGAGGAATTATCCAAAGAGGGCTCCGTGTAAGTGAGAGATGGTGCAGGACTGTCGGACTGAGTATCAACTCAGAGAAAACCGCGGTAGTGCTATTCACCAGAAAGCGTCTGAAAAAATCCAAAAATTCAAAATCTGGTCACTGACAAGAATTAGGACAGTTTTCCAATAAAGTTTACAAGAAAACGAATAGCTTTATGAACATTTACGTTATACCTACAACTCCTAACGCAATACCTTACATATGAATTGTTTATCTGTCAACGTTCAAACCCGCTTGACCATAAACCTTTTTATCACATTGTATTTCACGCCCCTTTTGACCGTTATCTTTGTTCAATTTATGGCCACCAGCGGGCAGTATTTCCTTATAAAGGCACTAAACTGAATTACTAATAATACAGAGAAAAAAACAGATATATTCACAAATTAAGTCTACTAGATAATAATTAGGAATTCCTGTATGCATATCCAAACTAAGATTATATTAAATAAATGGAGAAAATACCTCTTTGTTTTAAAAATGACAGACATTATTCTTGTACCGCTCCCCTCGAATACATGGCGAATTTTAAATAGGTAAGTGCAAATATCCCTAGGGATGATATATTTCGATTCTAGGAACACGCTTAGGAGTTTTTTTTTGCGAGAAAAAAAGTATATTTCGAAATTTGTATGATTTTTAGTTAAAAAACATAATCTGTTTTATGTTGATAATCTGTTTTATGTTGACGATACTATATTGAATTTGAGAACTTGTGGGAATTTTTAGAAAAAAAGGGAAATTTCCCATCATCGTAGGAAATTCTATTTCAAAAAGTTGGCAACACTGGCTGTAAGCGTGTTTTGATTGCTTTGGTTTCACTCTTTTGTTTATTTTCGTTTTTCTTGGTATGGTAATTGATATCTAAACAGAAACGTATATTAATGTCGTATATTAACGTATATTAAAGCCTATTATTTATGTAACACCTTCCACTCCTTCCAATGTTGACATAGACACATGAACATTTGCCACATCGTGTAGGAGACGCATTGTCGAAACCTGTTCCAAGTGGTTACAACATTGGAACCTTGGTTGGAACCAATGTTGGACGCATCGTATAGGACCGAAATATATGAAACCAGGAGGAAAATCATATATTTTGTGTGTTTATGTTTATGTTTAAAAAAATGTTTAGAATGTAAAGCAGGACTAGCAGGACCGAGTTTTTATGTATCTGATTTCAGTTATTCTGAAGTCGAAAAAAAGGAAATGATGCATTTCCACAGAAAATTGTTGATAATTTTGTTTTTTGGGGAGGCTTCTAAATACTGGATGTTTTCATACTTTTTTTTTATAAGGATATCAGTTAAAAAGTTCCTTTTTTTTAAGTTATTAAAGTATTTTTTTAAAATATGATTATTTAGGTACCTCATCTCATAGGTATATCAATTATTGCGACTCTCAATCACAGCATAACAAAACTATAGTTTATGTTTTGGTCTCGGTCTAAGTACCCAGTATTGGAGGTCTCGACAACGGTAGGATATCCTGTAGGGTTAGATGGGGTAATCGTAAACAGGGGCAATTGTAAACAGGTCCAATAACTTTTTGAATTTGACGGGTAGATAATAAGTGGACTGGTTACACTGGTTCCCACATCTTTGATTTGTATTGATTTGATTGTATGGTTTCTAGTACTATTTGTTTATGGTGCAAGAACATTTTGTTGGAGAGCTGCTTTAAAACTTAGGGGTTAGCGAGGGGGTTAGCTTTTACGAGAAATGAAGTACAGACGTGTTTACCAATGCCCCAGTAAAATACGAGGCGGGGCAATTGTAAACTTGAGTTTGGGGTAATAGTAAACACGTGTTTAGATTTACCCCAATATATAAAGTTATAAAATACGGGGTTATAATTGAAATTTTTGAAACTTTTTATTCTTTTTTATAAGAAATACCTAAAATAGATTTTATAGGAAGGAGGATAATCTATAGTCTTTTTCCGGAAAATAGATGTTTTTGAAAAACCTTAATATTTTTGTATACTTTTGACCCCACAGTAATAAAGTACAGTCTTTAAAATAAATAACAGTCTTTAAAAAAAATTAATCTTTTATTTACCCCATGGAGACATGGAAATTGTAAACGTTCTTTAAACACACTTATAATCCAACTAAAAACAAACGTTATTATAGTTCTTTGTTCATTTATTATCCCCATTTGAAACCTCCTACATCTTATAGTACAGTAAGCAATATGTTTACTTTTACCCCAAAATATGACAATTTTTGATTTTTTTCTATGGGGAAAATGTAAACGAGTTTTTTTTGGAATCTATTGCAAATTTCTAGATGTCTATGAATCTGTCAATCTCAAATTAGCGAAAGAACTGATGATGAGATGATGAGATTTGACTTTGGTAATGAAATATTGAGAAGTTTTTTTATCTGTAATTACAAAAGCATGCTTGATCATAAAGCTTTTTGATCATACTCTTGTTTATATTCATACTGAGTCAAGTACTGAGTACTTAACAATGCAATAATTACTTGTTAGGATTTGTTTCTATTTTCCGTCGTAATATTTTCAGTATTATCAATGAAACACTAAACTAATTTGTTATAAAAACGGCCAATATCGCGTAATCATAAATACATACAATGCGTTAATTGCCCATAGGTTAACTACATTAAACTTTGATCAAACTAGGTATTTTTACACAGGAAATCAAAGTAAGTATCCTGTTCTTTGATTTAATGTGTCGGTATAAGTACGGCACATCGGTAATCGGTACTACTTGAGGATCCGTCTAGGAAAATTAATCCTCCGAATCCATGCTTAATATCCATTATAAATAAAACTGATAACGAAACCGGTCAGGGAATTTTATTTTCGAGCGAGCGGCAAATCAGCTCAGCTCCACACAAAGAACGCCCGCGTTATCATTTTAGAACCATCTTATCTTCGACCGTATCTCGCTAAACTTTCTATTCCCAGTCTTCCAAACGAGTTCACTCAGGTACTACCAAGAACGATCAACAAAAATTCGAACTGGGCCACTGTAATCAAACGTACAGAAGATTACAATGCATCCTGGCGGGCCCACGCGAGAGGCAGATGTTTTAAAACAAAAAACCGAATTATTTATATCATTAGGATCCGTCTAAAAATAGATGGTCATGCAGCTCGGGTATCCCGATGGTTGCAAGACAAAAGAGAGAAAAAAGATGTCTTGTTTGCTATTCCACGGCCTACTAGTTTTAGGTTAAGATAAGAACTAAAAACAGAATCATGACTTATCACAGAGATGAATCACCTTACCAAAATTGACAAGCAATGCAGGATTTTCTTTGGGATGTCCTTGTCGCCGTCGAATATAGATAACACAGACGTTTTATCACTAGATAAGCACAATCTACACAACTGATAAAACTTTGGCGGTACATTGGACATGTTTAAAACAAACAGAAAACAAAACAAAAGCACACACGGGACATTTAATGGTGATTCTCGTGTCTCACAGCCGTCTTTATTGTTTATAACATTTAAATAACGCTATTTAGATTTTTTACACAACAAATCACTGCACCTCGTTCATTTTTATGAAACGTCAAAATTACACGATGGGAAAAAAATAAGGCACTTCCATTTCCACCGATATTTGATTAGGAAAAGTACTTTTCTGTATTGTAAATACGACGTTTGTTGCTCTTATCGCGCTTGATCTTTTAAACGCCAGGGGGCTCTGTCTAACAAAAACAAACGGGACTTTTACTTGACAAATCTCATTTTTATTCAATCCACCAATCCTCTTCTAAAATAAGATAACTTAGAAAAAAATAACTTACATGACATAGACAACTTGTAGATAATTGTGAAACTAAATGCTGTTTTTTTAAATCAACTGATTTTATTCGAATAAAATTTGGTTGTCATTATCTTCTAACTCAAAAATATAAAAATTGAACTTATATAACTCACAATTCACAAAGTAAAATTATTATTTTTTTTATTTTAATGTAATGTATCTATATAATCTAATTATCATGCCTTAGTTTTTTAATTTATATACTTGGTAATATATTTAAAACGTTTGTTTTTGTGTGGTTTAAAAAATAATAAAAGGAATCATAATTATGTAGTGTTTAACTGGTTGCAAAGCTTTAAAGAAATTGTTTTGACAAGGTCTTGACGAATCATATGTTTCCGGGTATTTATTTTTTATTAGTTGACATTTCTACATTTGAGTAGTGACGTGTTTTAGGTTAATATTTTAGAAATAAAATATTAAATTTAGCTTTTAACTAGGACTTGACCTAGGAATTATGTATAAAAACAAATAAGTATCAATATAAGTGTCCAATGACTAATATTGGGTATGCATATGCTACGAAAATATCGGGAAAAGGCTAAAAATCTGCCTTCCAGTATTTACCATAATGCAGATAAGAACGAAAACAGTAAAATAAGTAACAAAACGGACACTGATAGTGAAGATGAAGCCAACGCAGATTTAATCTTTGAAGATTCAGTGAATGAATATATATTAAAAATGGTAAATTTCATAAAGGAACTTGCAATATTTTGTTTTATATTTGCAGCGTATGCTGCTATTACTCACGAGTAAGTTTATATTTTTACCTAATTATTATAATTCATTTAACATCTATAATTTGTAGCCCCCCAAAAGTATCAAAGTCGCCTGCTGCATATCCATTTTTCCCAACAAATTCTGTTATTAAAGATTTTTATAGAGGGCAAATTCTTGAAGCAATTGAACAGGCGAGAAGCTCTGATTTTTCATTTCTAATGTTTTATGCCCCTTGGGATGCAGAAAGTCAGGCTGCAAAGGCAGAATTTCTGAAAACAGCTAATTATTTAAAGGAGAATGTTGCTTTTGCTGCAGTAAATTGCTGGCAACCTGGCAGTACTTGTCGCAATCAGTATAACAAAGTTTTTAGGTACATACATACTACCACTTTTTTAAATTATATTTTAAAGAAAATAAATTATTATTTTCAGATGGCCTGTTCTTATTGCTTATCCTGCTTTTGGTAATGGAATTCAATACAATGGTCCTATAGAAAGTTCTCATATGATAAGTTTTTTACAGAAACTTATGAAACCTGTTAAGAAAGCATCTGAAATAATTTTAGATTTTGAAGAGGTAAGTATGTAGTATGTATTTGTATAAATAAAATTCGATAATCTTTGTCTTTTACTGTTAATGTTATTCTTATTTACTTACTTTTAGGCTTTTATAATTGCAGAATTAAATACTTTACCTGGTAGTGAAGAATATTCAGTGTACTATTCAACAGCTTTGAAGTATTTAGAAAATGATCCATTAGGAAGAATTAGCTTCTTCGTAAAGCCTGTTAAAAAAACTAAAAATCAGTTAAGTTTTTACTTATGGCATGAAGTTAAGGTAAAACATATAATTGCCTATATCTTATAATAAAAATTACATAGCAGAGCTTCATAGATTTTAGATTTAAATCAAAGCGATTGGAAAGTTGATGTAATTATGCAATGGATATTAAAAAACATTTACACAACTAGTTCTTGGACATTACCTAGCGGATCGAAAAGTTTGGTGCTGTCAAACTTTTTACAACCAGGACCGTCTTTAATCCTCTTTACACCAATGAATCCTTTTTACGGATTTTCAGATTACTACATGATGGTAATATATTTTATTATTTTTTCCCATATTTTTTAACTCCATTACATACCTTTTTTAGCTGCAAGAAATATCTCAGGAATATGCTAACTGTAATAATTATGCACCAAATTTTGACATGAAATCAAAAAGATTGGGTAACTGAGTTTTTAATGACATCTAAAAATCTGAACTCAACTTTGTTTCAGATAATTATTTAACTTACAAGCATTTAAAAAAGATATGTAAAAGCCAAATATATGGTGAAAAGCAAAAAGATGTCTTATCTGTAACAACCAATTTGGTATTTTTTAATGAGACCTATAATGACAGAAAGAAGAAAAATAACTTAAATTTATATGAAGATATTAAATCTGAAAATTGCTATGATATATTTCCCCAGACGTTTAAGAACTTTAGAATGATTGAGGCCAGTTCATCCATTTCAAGAAAAGAAATTAAGACGTCAATGTTAAGAGATGGTATATGTATGTTCAAGAATTAAAATAATCTGTTTTATTCATACTTTGAACTTTCAGAATTTGATCCAAAGTCTATGCCGAATCTGAAGAAAAATCAGTATAATAATAAATGCAAAAACTTATTAGAAGCTGAAAAACTGTTTAAACCTATTTTTGAGCCAGTAAATTTGGAATCTGTAGAATTGTCTGTAGCTAAGCTTGGATGTTCAAATCAGACATTAGAGTTTGTTGCTCTAAATAGTTTAATTTATTATAATTTTGCTGAGCGTCTAGGACTTGACCTATTTAGTAAAAAGGATAGAAGTGGTGTTGTGATTGTACATCAAAAGGTGTGGTTTGTTATACTCTCAAAAATTATGAGATATTCTTTACTTATTTCATATTATGGATAATTTCATTGAATAAGAAGACTAAGGAAAGAGTCTAATATTTATGCATTCATGAATTAAAGATGGAACTGGCATCATGACACCCCATTTTTCACAGTTTTGTTTAGCGTTTGAATTGGTATATTTGAAATTGATTTGAAATTTTGGGCTTTTTGAATTTATTTTGAGTTATTTATTATTCCTTCCACAATTTGTTCAAAGTTATACATGTAAATACAGGGTTGTTCACCACATACGACACAGAGTATTGTAGCTAAACGATTAGATTTTTACAAATTGTAAGTTTTGGGTTCATTGAAAGACTATTAGAGCTATAATTTAGAAATAATTTTACAAGATACAGAGTGTCCCAATTAAACATATTATCATTGTATTTTTTTAAATGAAACACCCTGTATATTATTCTATTTTTAGATTCTACGATTGACAAAAGGTAAATTTGATTAAGGTTTATCACACTTAAACCTTACCGTTTTTGAAATATTTTCAATTTTGTGAAATTGCAGTAAAAAGTTTAAGGCTTCATTTCTCCAGGGGATCAAAGTTTTTAATACTAAATATTTACTGAAGATTATTTGATCAGATATTGTGTTGCAATAATAAAAATTATACTACCTTATTCAGAGTGTCCAAAAATTTATATTAAATAATTACTAGCTTTAAACGGCAATAACTTGTTTAATTTAAATGGAACACCTTGTATATTTTACGTGAATCAGATTGCCAATTTAACTGTCTATCAAACTGTATTAAACCATTTTTTATCTATCTCTGGAAGTTTTCGTTGAAAATGCATTTTCTTATAATATAGACCTCATTTATCATGGGACACTCTGTATCTTGTAAAAATATTTTTAAATTATAACTGTAATAAACTTCAACGAACCCAAAACTTACAATTTGTAAAAATCTAATCGTTTAGCTACAATACTCCGTGTCGTATGTGGCGAACAACCCAGAGTATCTGCTGGCAAGGTTTATGTTTACGTCGAGATTTCCGTATGTAAGAAAAGTACAATGCATTTATAATGTAGTGAATAAAGAGAGAACAGTAAAAACGTTGCCACGCGTATGAAATAAACCGAGTAACTGTGCACATTGCTGAGACACGAAGAGTGACGAAACAAGGCAGTTTCGGCACAATCGAAAGCATAAATTGATAAATTTTATAAATTGAAATTCAGTACTTAGAATTCTAGGGAAAGGTGTACATCATGTTTTCAGCTTTACGATTTAATTAAAAAAAAAAAAGAATTAAAAATAAGCGCCTTTCGACCGTGATTTTACTACATTAGACAGGGAAGGGCGTACTCGTATCACTGAGAATGTGGCAACGCTGCAACAGCACACCGATTCACTTCCACACATGTAAATACCGACCCAAAAGAAAGAGTTATCAGCACCGTAGAAGAATATTGTGTCAGAAATTAACTATGGCATTGCAAATTCCACAAAATAAACTTAAAATAGTTATTTGTGCAACATGGCGGTAGATCTTGGTAAAAAATTGAATGAAATATGGAAATAACTTTTCACTGGCAAATAACTATACAGGGTGTCCCAATATTCCTTGGACATCGGACTACTACGTATTTTTGGAATCAGAATAAGTTCATTGGACACAATTTACCTTTATACACAAGTGCTTCATTTGTCCGCTAGAGGGCATCAAACAATATTTTAAGAAGCGTTATTCTGATTTGAATGAGATTTTGGGTGTCTATGTCTATGTTTTGCTAAGTGCTTTAACAATTTACTTTTACAAAAATCAAGAAAAAGTACGCGAAGTGGGAAAACTACCCTCACCTCTACATAAATTTTAGTATATATATTTTCCAACTCGACCGACGACAGATTTTCTTTTCGTAAATTGGTCCCTCTAGTATTTACTAATTTTTTGCAAAATATACAGGGAGTTCCAATATTCCGTGGACATAGAACAACTACGTATTTTTTAATCAAAATAAGTTAATTGCACATAATTTACCTTTATAGAAAAGTGTTTCGTTTGTCCTTTAGAGGACATCAATCAAAAATAAACCCAAACGTTTATATAATACTATAATACGTTATATTCAGAAAACTATTTTTACTTATATTTTTATTTTTATTTACTGCTTGTCAGAAATAATTACTTAATAACTTTTCAGTAACCTATCTGGTACATGATGTTTCAGTAACCTATCTGGTATATTTTTGTTATTAAATAATTATTGTGACAAAATATATTCTTATTAGAAATATATTTTTTTGTCAATTTCAATAACTAATAACATTTATTAACAGCGTAAAACAAAACTATCAAATTATTGAGTCTACCTTACATTATACATAGCGAAACGCGCCTCCATTGTTTAAAAGTAAAGTGTTTTGGTATATTGTGGTGAATTTCTATTGTTCCACGTTTTATATAAAATTAGAACGTCACTGATAAACCGGAATTTATGTAAGTCAGCCATATTAAGCCCCCATTGTGTTCCATGTAAGTTTGTTGATAGCTCCTTCCTTAATCTTTTGTACTCAATGGATAATTCCTTTGATAATCGTTTTATTCAATGGATAATTCGAAATTAATGATTTATTTATTAGAATGGACAATACTAATAATCTATGATTCGGAGAGGATGGATAGGAGAATACACTTTTTACAGGGTGCCTATGAAAAAATTGCTGCCACACAACTATGTTTAATTAATAATAATAATAACCGATTTTGGAGACCACATTACGCTTATAAAATTTGTCGTATCATATATGTCATATTAAAGGTATGTTTGTTGTGTACATGATGTTATAAGGGTGCCTATCAAAAACTTGCCGCAAATAGGGGTTGCCACGGTTCAAAGTTTTTCCTACGAGCCCGGCAATAGTGGGTCGTGCGTCGGACATCTAAAAAAAAGCTCCTGAAAAAACTTATGAATTTTGTATAAATGCCAAACTAAAGTATATACTAGGATGTATTACAGGAAAATATTTTAACTTCTACAGGGTAGTTCAAAACAGTGTGAAAGTTTAATTTAAAAAAGCGTTTTTTATGAGTGTAATGTTTGTTCCACTCCAAAATCAGTTATTATTATTATTAATTAAACATAGTTATGTGGCAACTTTTTCATAACCCTGTGTAATTCTCCTATTCATAAATATACATACGTAAAAATTAGGTTTTGATTAAAAATACGATGAGCGTAATAATCATGCAGTCGGATCATGTACTATAAAGAGATTTATTAAGATTAAACATTTATTAAGATTACTGATACTAAGATATACTAAAAGAATTTTGGACTTAATTTCCACAACGTTTTAGACTGATGTATCACTGACTTGGTGATCAAGTCAGTGTGAAAAGGTTTGATTTGGAAAATTACCGATTTTGTCAATTATAAACGCGTTGTGGTACCTATCTCTAATATTATCCATACAGGGTGGCCCATTAGCGCAGGGAAATTCAATATCGTCGTTGTTAACGAAGATATGAAAAAAAATATATATAAATGATGTATATCCTAAAAATATTCTGGTTATACAGGATGTCTCAAAGAAAGTATTAATAAAGTAAGTTGTTTAAGTTTAACATCTACCAATGTATATCGCATGATCGAAAAAAAAACGGCGTCCAGATGGCTTGGAAATGACAGTCGATGACATTTCCCATACAATTTTACATATAAAACGACAGCGATCTTCATTTTATAGCCATCGCTGACGCGTTTGTTAGTTTTCAGATATACTATTTCTAATCAAAATTTTAGTAAATAACAAATAGCATGGCGTAATATATGCAGAATTGTATGCCAATTCTGTTCAGAAAAATGGGTGCTGACATTTGAAAAAACTTACAACTTTATCATTACATTTTTGGGACTGTTATACAACAAAATATTTTTAGGATATGCGACAACGATGATACGGGACTTCCTCGCACTAATGCATCACCTTGTATGTATTTATTTTGTATCAATGTATAGTTTTGGATACAATTTCAATATTTTAATTTTTTTAAGTTGGAGAGTCACTATGTGATGAAAAATGCTGTAACGAGTACAAATATAAGAAGGTTTATTAGGAACTTTACAAATAATACGTTAATACGTTCCACAGATACAATTTCAGACATTACTTCAGTTACTACTCGATCTTATCACTTTAATAAAACTATTCAAAGATCCAAACCTATATATGTTAAAGAATTAACTAGCAAAAACTTTTTAGATGTTGTATTAAATGAGGGGAAGGTAGGAAATATCAAATAATATGTATTAATAAAACTAACGTTTTTTTTATCATTTTAGTCTGTATTAGTAATGTACTATTCCAAACAATGTTCTTATTGTAATGGAATTTCTTATATATTTTTGACCTTAGCTAGAAAGTTATCCTTCGTAAAAAATCTTCAATTCAGAAGGATAGATGGAGACATAAATATCCTACCTTGGGAATATACTATGGATGCCTTTCCTACTATATTATTTTTCCCAATGTTCAAGTAAGTCGCTAAGTAATTGTTAATGATTGTATAAATCTTTCAATTTCTAGGAAAGAAGAAACGAGAGTCTTTCCATCAGATATCCCAATAGATCTAACGAATTTATTAGGGTTTGTGTTAAGCAATTTTGACTCGGTAACCAAACTGAACGCAATGTACTCTATTTGTTTGCATTATCAAGTAAGATTTTTATATTGATACAAGACACCCTGGGCAAAAGTGCAAGAAATTCAATGCTACAACGATCTGATAAACTATAAAAACTACAGGGTCTTTCTATTACGGGCGAGAATTAAGGGGCTCAGTTCATTAGGGTGAGTTAATGTATCAGGACTGTGGGCACTCACCTTTATTCCCGTTCTGGACTCGTACCTGTTGATTTTTTGCTTGAACAAAACACTTGAGGATAGCGCGCGCTTGGAGGTGTACACTGTGTACTCGGCCGATCTTGTCACTCTCTCGTCACGCTGCGTATTCGACTACGGCTACGTACCCACTAAGGTTTTTCGGGTAAAGGATGGGAGGAAGGGATAGAATCCAACACTTTCAAAAAACATACGCCATGTCTCGTGGGGAGATTCCTCACATAAAAATAAGATTTATTATTCATATCAACTAAGGTCCGAATCTGCTTTGTTTCTTAGCTACCGGGGTTAGTCTTTTTTTATTTATAATTTTCTTTCAAATACTTTTAGTGATTTCAAATGGAATTTTGAGGATAAAATTTACTATAAGTGCTACATATTTTAGTGCTAAAAAAGTGTCGACAGGTTCACCAGGGACGTGCTTGTGAGTTATCACTGGAATATTTTTCTAAAAAAAACGTGTACCACTGACTTTTTCTCTTGTTAGCACAGTTAGGCCGTTTAATTCTGAGTAAAACTTGTCTCTTGATATTTTGTTGATTTCAGTCTCCTTGATGAGATAAACACAATTTTTTTAATTTGCATTAATCCAAGTCTAATAGCAACCTAATGTCATTAACTGGCCAAAGTGTTAAATAAGCGCTCATTGATTCCTCATCAAAAAATATGAGAAAAAGTTCCTTATAAACATAGGTGCGGAAATGCATAGTTTTAAAGTTACAGGATGTTTTAAAAAACTTAAAAAATAGGTCTTTTGTAATTATCGAATGTAATACCACAAGATGTTTCGGGATTACCGAATAATACTTTTACCTGATAAGAAATGCTTTACCCAGCAACACTACGACTCCGAAGGAGGATTAGAGTTGCCGGTTTCGCATTGAGTGTCAGGCAAAAGACAAAAACTATAGTATACGTATAGTTTTTGATCGCACTGTATCAGTGGCGGCGCACACACGGCAAAATGCTATGTTTAGCTTGACAAAAATCCAAATTAATTTTTTTTTATATATTTATCCACACATTGATTTTCTTATTATATTTGTAGGGCTACTTTTAAATATTATAAACATTTTTCATTCAACTAGAGTAGTGCAAGCGTTACCGAAAATTAATGTACTTCGCACCTTTCGCGGAGCGCAAGAGAGTGTCATTTACACCCAGCACAGCCATTTTAATTTTTTTCTACTGTTAATAATATATGAAAAAAAAAGCTTGTAATATACTTAGAAATTCATAATTTAGAATATCTGTCTTCTTAAAACTAAAAAATAATTTCTTGATTTTACAAGACTGGTATAGCAATCAGTGCGACTCTGCAGATAATATATATTTCAAAAAAGGGTAAATTTGGGAAAGCTGAATTTTTTATATCTGAATCAACATATATTAGGGATTTTAATTTTGATAAATTAAAAGCGTAACTCCGTGGAACTCATTACTAAAACTCGTTATGAAAACAAAATTATAAAAAAAAATTGGCGCCGGGGGGCACGTATAGCCGCCCATACTAAAATATGTTAATAAAAAGTTGGTAGGCAGTTCTTTTAGTTTCAAAGTAAAGGAATTTTTCCAATTTTGGTCCGCGGTTATTTCCCCTATCCGCCACCTGGGGTCGCGTCCGATGGGAGTTTGGAGTTCTCCACATGGATCTTCTCAAAAACGGACAACGGAAACACGGAATATCTCAAAAACTACGACTGATTGATTTTGAAGTTATTACAAAGTTTGTTGCAAATATTATTCCTAATCTTAAATTGAAAACCGCGTTTCGCTAGCACTGTAATTTTGGAGTTACGATTTTTTAAAATTTTTAGCCCCCTCCCATACCCTCTTACCAACCACCCACCCCCACCAAAAACTAATGGCCAGATTCTCGGGCGCCACATTATTTTTGTTGCAAATTTGGTTAAAACCGGTTTAGCGGTTTTTGAGTTATCGTGTTACAGACGAACAGACAGACACCATGAAAATATTTTGTATTTAGGTCATTTATTTATTCATTATAATTAAAAAAACTTTTTTTTTGCCGATCTTAATAGCCTACCATACCTGTTGGTATGGGTAATAACAAAGGTAATAATAAACAGGCTAATAAACACAAAATAGTGTGTTTAAAATATATTTTATCTACATTCAAAACAGTTCAAATTTATTACATTGATGTTATTTAATTGTACTAGATGTCTGTAGCTATATTGTCCATAACGATAATTAATTTTCAAATGGCTGTGTGTGCTAGGTGTAAATGACACTTTTGCGCTCCACGTTTGTGCAAGGGTCTCCCCAGAAACTGCGGACTCCATCAACTTTCGGTAGCGCTTACACCGTTATAGTTGCTTAGAAAAAATTATAACATTTAAAATTAGGTCCACGGATTTAATAAGAACAACAGTGAGTGGATGAACATACGAAAAAAAAAATTTGTAATTTCGATTTTTGTCAAGCTAAACATAGCATTTTGCCGTATGTGCGGCGCGGCGGTGCAAATCAAAGCAGGGCAGGTAAAAATTGACAAAATAATAAAATAAAAATACAATCAATATAATTATTTTTTACTCTAAATTGGGTGAACAATTCTCAGATTTGGCATCACTGTGCGGACACCGACGAAATTTTTTTTACGCGTTACTTATTCTATGGGTACGAACATAGTGGAGGCAGGTTTCTGCTTTCCGGCAACCAGCGCCGTCTCTGGGGACCTATTCTTGACCACATATCGCTCACATCTCGCATCTCCGAAAAAGCCATATAACAATACACGTGATGCGTAACTTTGCGTATATGCCGTGTATTGTTATATGGCTTTTTCGGAGATGCGAGCAGGGTTCGGAAGTAGTTAATTAAGAGGAAATTTACCTGATTCACTAACCTAACCATATCCAAACGCCGCTCCCACACATAGGGGTATTTGGTCTATAAACCTGGCCAAAAGTGAAATATTTTTATTTTCATTTTTTATCTTAACTGAATACAAATCTATAAATAATAAATGTAAGCCCGTTTATTAGTTTTTTTTTAAGTTGTTAGTTGACTATCAAATAAATAATATATTTAAATTATAAGTATGAATTATCTTGAGTGTATTCTGAATATTTCTAAGATTATAAAAATAGTGGAATTGTTTGTAGTGCTTTTTTGCAAATTGTTTATAATAACTGTCATGATGGATACAGAGCCAGCTTTGTCTGTTTGCTCTGTTCTGTTTTATGCCATATTTTTATTTTGAAACGTTTCCTTCTATTCTATTTTTTTATAATGTTATATATTTAAAAAATCAGTGGCATTTTTATAAGGTGTAAGACTATTCGGCAATATTCCGCATGGAAATTAGTATCCGTTCGATGCTTAAAGTCTCCAGCATTGGAATATGCACAAAAATCTTGCCAATATTTGCCACTGCCAAAAAAAACATTGATTTAAATAGATTCTTAAAGGAAATAGTCTTTACCCTATTAACACCCATCCTCGCTCAAATATCGTCTATAATATACAAATTACTTTTTTGTTCTAGCATCCTCATCCAATTGCTTGGTTTTGCACAGAATGGCCCTATTTGATCGGTGGAAAGGGTTTCAGAGTAGAGGAAAAAATATTGTGTAGGAAAAACAAAATGGGGTTCCATATTAGCAACCTCTCCTCTAATTAATAATTAATATTACTAGCAAAAAGCAAAAAAATCATAAAACATAATTTTGGCCAACTTTTAGTTCTTAATACCCCCTGTGCGCCGTCGGCGCGTGCAAAAACAGAAATAAATAAATTTTCGTTCCGGTAAAAGCGAGAACGCCGATGAACGCTGGTTGACGGTGCCTGCCTGCTTTCACTGTGAACTAGCCGATTTGATAACACGCTTTAATTTTTCAAGGTTATAAGCGCGAGGCGGCGCGGCGCGGCGCTACTATCTATGTAACCATATACAGGGTGTCCCAGAAATAAGTGCAAGTATTTTAACTTCACTTGTAGTATAGTTCAACCCCAGAAACACGCCTATGAGGTTTTTCCTAAATAATTTTTTTTTTTGAAAATTCGGAATTTTTTGAAAATATTTTTGGAATTTTTAGCAATTTTTTTTAGTTTTTATTTAAAAAAATAATTTCTTGATAATTTGGCAACATAGGTAGTAGATTAAATTTACAAGAAAGAAAATCCAGAAAAGATCCAGTGGTTCTCAAACAAATCTTGAAGTATTGGAAAGAATGTGCAAGGACCAAGAACTATTGACTACAATAAAACGACGGAAAGCAGCATATTTTGGCCATATTTTTCGAAATAACAAATATAGTTTCCTACAGCTGATCGTTGAGGGAAAGATTGAAGGACGACGAGGCATCGGGCGTAAACGGTTTTCCTGGTTGCGGAATTTGCGCCAGTGGTTTAATATAGTAGAGGCCAGTGCAATTATCCGTTTGGCTCAAGACAGGGAGGAATTCCAACACTAAGTGTGCGAACACAGTGCAAGCAGGTTTGCCGCTTACTGGTAGTCAGCGCCAATCTGAGCACCTATTCTTCACATCGTTCGCAACTTTGCGTATACGCATCACGTGTATTGTTATAAACAGGGTATCCCAGAAATAAGTGCAAGCATTTTAAAGGGTGGTAGATCTCGATAAAAGAAACATATTTTCTCTGTATCGTGTTTCAAATAAGTCCAAAATAACGGAGTTATTTTATTTTAAAAATTTCTAAAAAAAATGATTTTTTGCTAAAATTTTGAGAACCACTGGATCTTTTCTGGATTTTTCTTTCTTGTAACTTTAATCTACTACCTATGTTGCCATATTATCAAGAAATTATTTTATTTAATAAAAACTAAAAAAAAAATCCAAAAACATTTTCAAAAAATTCCGAATTTTCTAAAAAATAATTTTTTTTAAAAAAAATAAATTCTTGATAATATGGCAACATAGGTAGTAGATTAAATTTACAAGAAAGAAAATCCAGAAAAGATCCAGTGGTTCTCAAGCAAATCTCGAAGTATTGGAAAGAATGTGTAAGGACCAAGAACTATTGACTATAATAAAACGACGGAAAGCAGCATATTTTGGTCATATTTTTCGAAATAACAAATATAGTTTCCTACAGCTGATCGTTGAGGGAAAGATTGAAGGACGGCGAGGCATCGGGCGTAAACGGTTTTCCTGGTTGCGGAATTTGCGCCAGTGGTTTAATATAGGAGAGGCCAGTGCAATTATCCGTTTGGCTCAAGACAGGGAGGAATTCCAATTGATGGTCGCCAACCTCCGATGAGGAGAAGGCACATGAAGAAGAAGGTTCTCAAAATTTTAGCAAAAAGAATTTTTTTGGAAATTTTCAAAGTAAAATAACTCCATTATTTTGGACTTATTTGAAAAACGATAAAGAGAAAATATGTTTCTTTTATCGAGATCTACCACCCTTTAAAATACTTGCACTTATTTCTGTGATACCCTGTTTATAACAATACACGTGATGCGTATACGCAAAGTTGCGAACGATGTCAAGAATAGGTGCCCAGATTGGCGCTGACTACCAGTAAGCGGCAAACCTGCTTGCACTGTGTTCGCACACTATCTCTTTCTTACACATTGGCCTTCCAGTCATTGCGATTTGCAGAGTACATATATGGGAGATTCGCAAAGACCTTTAATATCCCATTAGACAATATAAAGAAAATCATTCCGCCTTGGCGTAAATCATGTGGAGCGCCTTTATGGCGCGTCCTCACATTTAACTACCGATTTTTGTCAAGCTAAACATAGCATTTTTGCCGTGTGTGCGCCGCCACTGATACAGTGCGATCAAAAACTATACGTATACTATAGTTTTTCCCATTATCGTCACTTGTACATGATTGTTTTCTTTAAATAATATACAGGTTGGCGCACCTCATTCACCTCGGCTAATTATACAAAAAAAAACAAGGAAAACTCTTATGCTGAGTGTTTACAAATTTTCCAACTATTGAATTTCTGTGGTTTTTCTATTGGTTTATATGATCAGTGTAGAATAAATTATTTGTGCTGAACAAATATAGGGTATCTTGTATCGTAAACATCAGAAACATCTTAATCATTTTTTTTTAAATTTCAGCTGGAAAAGGAAAAGAGAAGTTGTTTTACTAGCGTGAGAAGTTATACCGTTGCTTTAATAGAACAAATGCTAAAACAATGGAGAAAATCAAATAACCGCCACCGTCAAATTGTGTTACATAATCTGAGACAACTTAAACAGCTTCAGTTTTTATTTACACACAAACCCGAGGACTTAAAACTCATCCAACTTTATTTCAATAAACTAAAATTCGGGTTAACTAACGATTACAGTAGCAAATCTAAAGAATCCATTAAAACTGAATTATGATTAAAACTATTCATAGCGTGTAGAATTGGTTTATTAGTTCAGTTTTTTGAAATATATAATTTAAGATTCTCAATCAATAAGAATTAATATCAATCAAGGGCGTCGCGTCGCTAACCTACTATTTTTTAAGGGAGCTATTCATTTAGAATATGGTTGCCAACCGTCCTCTATTCCAGAGGACAGTCCTCTTTTTGATCTCACTGTCCTCTGTTCTCTCCCGTATTGAAAGTCCTCTTTTTTTACATACCAAACTCAAAATCTAAAAATATTCTATCGCCACTATGCTTTAAAAATTTGTTATAATCTGTATCTTTCGCTACTCCCACTTTTTTGTACAGAAAAGAAAATGAAGAAATATTTATGGAAATTTTTATTTATCAGGAAATATTTGTGGAAGCGATAAACATGTTTAACTATTTAATGTTTAAAAAATGTCTATACCTCTGTGGCGGATTCATCTCTTCAAAAAAGTCCTATGGGTACTGTTAGCTTATGTTTTGAAAAAAAAAGTTTTGTTGAAAATGTTCTTTTTTATTTTAACAAGTTTTGGAGTATAAATATTTTTAAGAAAGTAAGGGTACAAATATATAGTGGGGCGATGCTCGCCGCGATGCATCCTACGTGCACGTTTTAATCACTATGATTATTGTTAGTTCCTAGTAGTTAATACGCAGAAAAAAAATCGTAGGTGTTTGTGTTTGGGAAGTCTCAAAAGATATGTTTTTTGCGACGTTTCGCGATTTTATTGTCGCTTTGGTGCCTGAAGAAGCACTGTTGCCTTTAAGCCCTGTTTTAAACGGGTGAGTAAGAACGCGTAGGATGCCTCGCGGCGAGCATCGCATCGAGATGCCTCACTATGTAAGTACCCTAGAAAGCCCATCAATCGCATACTGTTGACATAACTTTTTGGTAAATTCTAGACATTAGGTTTCAAAAAAATGTTTTGCCTCTGCCTCTTTTTTACCCTCTTGTCCTCTATTTTTTTATTTTGAAAGTTGGCAACCCTAAATTAGAGCCAAAAAGCACGAGGTGGTTTATGGGCGTCGCTGCGCAGCGTCTGTGCAGCCAGCGTCGATTTTTTAATGGGATTTCAATTAGGGTTTCCATAAAGGCTTTTGGAAATTCCGGACAGGTGACCTCAGAAATCCGAACAAAATCGGGACGTCGGCGTTGCAAAAATGAAACTATAAATTTATTTATGAATTTTTTAAAGGGGAAATTAAGAAGGGAATGTTATAAGCATTTCTTCTGTTGCCGCAAAGTGTGCATGTACAGGGTGAGCCAACGATAGAGCAAAGTTTTTTTAAATGTTAAATAGAAAAGTTTTATGTATTGTTAAAAATTAAATGAAAAATGCAATTTTGTCTCTGTGTAACTTATTGTTTTCAAATTCATTAGATTAAATTTATTATTAATTATAATTGTTAATTATTACAGGTGATGAGGATGCGTACTATAAGTCTAAATTAATCGCCTATGCATATTGTTATTTATCTGATAAGGACAACGGACTACCCAAGGGAAATTTGTCATTGTTTAGAAAAAACTAGCGGCTCACCTTATTTCGCGACACAGTTTCATACAAAAGTTTTGAGGAACGGTTTTGGAAAGCTGTGTAACCAGCTTTTATACCGATTGTCGTATACACACAAAGCGGCACAACTCAAAATTAATAAACTTTACAGTAGAGGCAATTGAAAAATCATGTTTTCTTACACAACCAATTTTTAACTAATCCTTAATATTGGGTTTGATAGTAAATAAGTATAGTTTTAAGTACATTTTTAATACATATTGCCTTTAAAAAGTATTTAATATTCAAAATACGCTATTGTTTAGAAAACTCCAAAATCACAAAGTTTTGAGTTGTGCCGCTTTTGTCGAAAAGCAGCGATATGATCTAGGGGTTTCCCGTACGCTTTTCCAAACCCGGGCTAGACCGCACCGGGCACTTCCGGACATGTCCGGGTAAATCCGGACGTATGAAAACTCTAATTTTAATGTTACAAAAAAACGTCATCTTGTAGGCGCCAACCGCCGAGTGCGCAAGCGGTTACGATCAGTGACGCCCATATATTTATAAAGTAATTATATTGAGTCCAAACTGCATTCTGTGAAGCCAAGCCGGTGAAATGGGTATATAAATCTTCTGAAGGAATTGCATAAGTCGCTCAGTTAGCTCTGCTCAAGCGTAGTGCGCAAGCCTGGATTTTGAATTATCGATCGGATAACTAGACCAATAAGAGACTAGACGCTAGCACCAGCTGTTCATTTGTACGGCTCCGTCCAACTTCGTACGGCTTTCGTTTACGCTCCCGTTCGACAATTATTGGCTAATCCTCAGAGCTTGATTTTCGTGCATCCATTATCCGACGATACGATGATACGATATTAATTTTATTGGTTGAATTGAAAATCAAGCTTAAGGGCTAATCGATATTCGGAATTTTGGAGTTGCGCCAGTGTCTGCCTAACAGGCGAACTTATGTGAAATATACATGGATCGGTTATCTACTTGTCTCTAACTCGTCTTCAACTACAACACATTGCAGGGAGTGAAAGGCGATAATCTGTATATAGTTTATATGTATATAGTGACGCCTATAAACCGCCTCGTGTTTTAGCTTTAAATGCTCGAACGCACTGACTGTCAGGTCGCAGCGGCCAGCCAACGACCACCAATCAAATGACGCAACGCGCACTAACGTCCACGCCCAAGCGGTCGCTGCCACATGTGATACCATTATATCAAATGATACAACGCGCACTGGCGTTCTAGCCGTTGGCTGGTCGCTGCGACATGGCCGTCAGTGCGTTTGGGCTCTAAATGTGTATATTTAGAATTTGGCAATATTTACAGAGTCTTTTTAATACTCATACCGATAATTTACTCTTTTAAAAGTGAAATCTAGGATGCCCTTGTGTATAATTTCAAAATGGAATGCCAAATTAAAGTGCACTTATTAAACATTCCGAATTTTCTAATAGGTTATTTTTTGTTTATTTTCGGATTTTTATTAAGTGTTAAGGACAGAATTTAGAAAACTTATGTTTTATTTGATAACTTGTAACAACAATTCTAAATATGTTAATGTTAGTATTTTTAGTCCCGCCTAGAACATTTTATCATACGTTTTGACTGAGTTTTGAAGACTGTCTGAGAACTGACTGCAGTTCACTAGAGTCAGAGACTTAATTCAGTTCAGGCAAAACGTCCGTTTTTTCCTGTACATACAATGTTTTACTTGATATGTTTTGACTTAACAGGTACGACATAATAAGTTAAATGTCTGGACGGGGCACGGGGCTTTAGATAATAAAACAAATTTTTAGAATTCGTTTTGAAAATATTTTAAAATTCTAATAAAAAAACACATAAGGAATGACGTTTAGCAGTGTACTTTTGTCAACTGTGATAATCATATTAAATTAACTGTAGAACTCCATCTAAGTGTAAATATTTTAAGATAGATAAAAAGATATAAATCAACTTCTATTTATTTTTTTGGTTGTTATTGGGAAATAAGATATAAAATCTCTGAAATGTAAATAAATATTTTATTTTATTCAAGCTTGTATATATACCTATAATTGAAATATGTATTTGAAAAGTATAATAGAACATATATTAAAAAATAAAATAGCATACTTTAAAAATAATTCCATGTCAATTGATTTATAAAAAGAAATACACTATTTCATTTTCTGATCAAAAGTGATCCCGATATAAATATAATTTAGTTGCTATTAAAATTAATATATAAAAGTTAACAATAAAGTTATTTAAAATAAAATTAATTTTTAATTTTAGTTCTATAAATATCACCAAATAAATATAATCTAATCACATTTTTTCACAAGTTTGTAAATATCTTCTACCAAGTCATCAATATCTAAAGAATTTTTAGGCATTTTTTCTGGTTTATTTGAATTCTCTTTGTAAATATCTTCTATCAAATCATCAATATCAAAAGAAAAAGTGTTTGTAGACACTTTTTCTGATTTACTTGAATTCTCATTTTCTTCCAAATTGGTCCCATCACAATTATTTACCATAACAGGGCATTTTTTCAATGCATCATCAAGGTTACTTACAGTAGTGTCCTCATTCAATATCCTTTTAAAAAAATCTTCATTGTGAGGTCGAGAGGATAATGAAAAATTATTATCAGATACTATACTTCTCAAAAAAAATTCTGATTCATCTACAGTATCATTTACTTCATTCCAACATTTAGGGCTTGGTTTATTTTTTTTACCAAGAAGTTGTTCTGATAAGGAATAGTCATCATCTTCAATCAAGTTTTCTTTTGCCGATATTGATGGTTGTGTATCGTCTAAAGTGCCCTTACTATTAGGGTTATTTTTTGGATTATTTGAATCATTGTTCTCACATGTACTACGCTCAATTCCTGTGGGAACTAAACATTCATTTTCTTTAAAAAAATTTTCTGATGATGTTGGCTGTGGATCATCTAAATTACTTTGAAGAGTGACAGTTTTTGTTTTGGAGGGATTTGCATGTGTTACTTTATTATCACTAGAATGTGAATTTTTCACTGTGTCAAATTTTGTTTTCTTGCATTCATTATTGTTTTTTTTAACTCTAGGTGCTCGTGGTTTTCTTTTTCTAGGATTCTCATCAGGAAAATACTTCTTTATCCAATCTTCTAATAATGTTTCATATTTCTTTAGCTCTTCTCTAGATGGTTTTACAAATGAATCACAAAAACTCCATGTTATTCTAAACCACCATTCCTTGTAGTTGTCACGTAAATTGGCAAAATTTTCACTATCCAATCTGTATAAAAAAAATTGTACAATTTGTTTTTTAATAAATGTCCTATCTCCAAAAATAAAAAAACTGATAGTGGGACAAAATCCTAACAGTGTACAATAAATGTGACAATAATAATTTTATTTAAATACTTACTGATAGAAATCTGCTAATTTACCCACACACCCAGGATTTGCCCAATTTAACATATTCCACTGCAATTTTTGATCTGGTTCAATCTAGAAAAAATAGATTTTAGATTTTTTAATAAGGAAAACATTAAAGTAACTTACATAAAAATTTCTAGATGATAATCCAATATTAAAAATGCCTTGTAATTTACGTATAACAAGCTTTGTTGCCACTACATCCAGATTATCAATAACTACTGACAAGAATGTATCCTCTGTGAAATTCTCTGCCAATTTGATATTTGAAAAACTTAGTAATAAAGCCATATCACTATCAGATGTAGAGATACTATCATTTGATTTAATAATTTTTACCCCAAAACCTCCATAGTTGGACATAAAATAATGCCATTTATATATAGCATCATCGGAACACAGAATCAATACAGAATACTTTTTATGTAGCTTATTAATAGCACCCAAAAATGCTGCTACTTGTAAACCTGTATTAAAATCCTCATCCTCGTTGAGAATAACTCCTCTAATCTAAAAATATTCCAGATCAAATAATATAATAACTATATCATTGTCAAATCACATACACTCTTTGAATAACTTTGATAGAGAAAGTCCACCACAAGGAAATCTTGGGTTTTAAATTCTTTTAAAATAAAATTAGCAATGATTAATGAATTCGTAAATCCGTATGATAACTTCCATGAATCCTTCAATTTTGATGCCTAAAAATATGTGGAATTATTGTATTTTATATATGACACTGATATAAAACATACATCCTTTAGATAAACCATAATTTCATCTCTCATTTAATTGTCGTTATTGTATCGTGTTAGAACATACAACATCATACCAAAAACGTACAGCATTTGCATATATAATATCGCCACAAACACGGAAAAACTTGTTTTTTCTACGTTAGGTCCATCAAATAAATAACTGTAGACTTCTGACATTTTTATAACTAAATGTAAGTATGATCATTATGTTTAAAATGTTAACAAGCAAATATCATGTTTTTACCATGTTGAATTAGTTATTCAATATATCACAAGCCTTATCGCTCCAAATCTCTCAGACAAGTTTCTTTGGCTAAGCTGAATCCCAAAACTATTTGTAAATTAGGAATTTTAGACCAGAAAAATAAAAAATTGTATTTAAATATAATATAAATATGTTCTATCAATATACATGAAGTTAGAAAATAAAATATTACTAATTACTATTTAAGGTTAGTGGCTATTTGACATTACCATAGTGATGGGACATTGACGTAAAACATCGATGTCTTGAAAAGTTAAATTCAGGGTTGTGTGTTCTGAAATATTACTGACATACAGGGTTTGGAAAACTACATGTTACTTTTAAAAATTACATAAACTACATTACATGTAGTTTATGTAGAGGGTGTAGTGTAGTTTATGTAACCTATGTATGTAACCACTATGTAACTTTCATGGTGGGTTCATACAGCCAAATAAAATAAAATAAGAATAAAATAAAATAAAATAAGAAAGTTGGTTATATGGGATACCGTACATGCGTTCATACAGCCAAATAAAATAACAAATAAAATAAGAAGTCTTTATCTTTTAACTTCTTGTTTTATTTTATGTGAAAACGGCTTTGCGCACGCTTAATTATAACCTACAAATATTTTCAGTTTGGATTTAATTTATTTTATAATTTCACATAAGTAAAATGTATAATATAGTAGGCAACGAATAAATAAATATACTATAAATAGTAAAATTACTATAAACAATCGTAAAAGTTAACTTTTATCCAGCCTCATCGTACTGCGCATGAGCAAATATATATTTCTTATTTTATTTTATTTGACTGTATGAACGCACACAAATAAGAATTCCTTATTTCTTATTTTATTTTATTCTTATTTTATTTTATTTGGCTGTATGAACCCACCATCAAATGTCAAAGGTTTGGTGATCGTGATTCGTGATCATACTGATCATTGCCAGTGTGATTGCCAGAGTCATTGCTTGGAAACTTGACAGACCGACAATGACAGATGACAGTTTAGGAGTGTCATCGTCATCAGTCATCAGTGTCATTTAATGTAGATTTTTAATATTTTTAACATAATTTTTAACAATAAAATATCTGAGAGGCTGAAAAATGTTGTGAGTGATAATTTTATTTAATAACTGTAGTTTTATTTTAGTGCTTATAAATGCCTAATTATCAACAAACATATTATTGAAACATGGAAATATTTCCTTACAAAAGTGCAATTCCTGAGAGAACGTTCCAAAGAAAATATATTTATTCAAATTTTTAAGAATCCCTTACAAAAGTAAACTACTGTACTTAATTTGCTAAGGTAAGTATTAGTGGTGTTATTCAAAATAAAGTTGTCATTGTTTAATTCAATACTTTTTTTCTCTAATATATCTAATACTATCTTCAAAATAATAAGTCTGTTATGTATTATAGATTATAGCCTAGCGATATATACCAGTATCTAGAGATTCACACATTTACTAATATTTTCAAATTATATTAATACAATTAATTTTGATTAATTAAAAATATCACACCAATGCTCAAGATAGTAAGATTCATAATTAAAGTAATAAAATATGAACTATGCGTGCACATTGGCAAACACTTATAAAATATCATCATGTTTGGACTTGTTTAATGCTGTGACACCATTTTTATTTTGAATTTAGAAAAAGTCTCTCTACATTTTGTAATGATTTTTAAGTTACTAGGTACCTGATATTTAATAATCTATAAATAACTATTTTCAAGGCAATGCAAATAAAGTTACAGCAAAAGCCTGAAAGGTTAGGTTTGGGGCCCTCCAATGGGAAATTGCTTGAATTGCTGCAAGGAGCCAGAACAGTTGGCCCCAAATTCTTCAGTTCAAAGTTGTAACAAAGAAGGTATTAAATTTCAATTAAGAAAAGGGAAATATACTCAATATTAATTTGTCTTTCAGAAATGCCTGAAGCGAGATTGTATCCTGCTCCAAGCCATGTGCCTGCATCATCAGCACCACTAGATACTATTTTAAGTAATGGTGAGTTTTATTCTAATTTATCTATATTTAAAGCAATTTAAAATTTGTGTATTTTTCTGTTCAGGTAATCATCTCACATTACCTGTTGAAACTGCATCTGTTAATCCACTAACTCGATTTTACCCTCCAAACAGAAGATCAACAACAAAATCAGCTCCCACAATGGGTATAACAGAAAGCAAACCTTCAGACCTTAAAGTACATTTTTTTTATTAACTTCTGTTTACATTAGTGCTAAATATATATTTGTTTTAGTTGAACTCTCTTTTTGACCACTACAGAGATGATCAAGAGGACTCTATTTTAGCAGAGGGGATTGATCAGTTTTGCAAAGATTTAAATATACCACCTGATGACTTTAAAATTCTTATTCTTGCTTGGAAATTAAATGCGGAACAAATGTGTAGGTTTACAAGAAATGAATTTGTCACAGGCTTGAGAAACATTAAATGTGATTCAATTAAATCTATACAAAATAAACTTCCAGAATTAGTTATTGATGTTGAACAAAATGATGAACTTTTCAAGGATTTATACCGTTTTGCGTTTAAGTTTGGATTGGATATTCAATCTGGACAACGTATCCTACCTACAAACATGGCTGTTATCTTGTGGAGACTGGTATTTACAGTGCGACAACCACCCATTTTATCTCGTTGGTTAAATTTCTTGGACACTCATCCAATGATACGGGGTATTCCCAAAGATACCTGGAACATGTTTCTGAATTTTTCAGATCATGTTGGAGATGATCTCAGTTGTTATGATGATAATGAGGCGTGGCCCAGCTTATTTGATGATTTTGTTGAGTTTGAAAATGATCAAGCCAATCAGAACATTTCTAAAGAAAAAGATAAAGATTGTGACTCATTTTTAATTAAGGATTGATAGTCCAGAATGTTCTGTTTTGTAATTATGTCAGTGTTTATAGAAAGATGTGTGTATTGGACATGCATAAATAAATATATTGAAATATGATCACATAGTAATTTCTGTTTATTAGAACATCTTCGTTCCAATACCACCTCTTTCTTCTGAAAGCCACATTGCAACTATTGCCTAAAGTATTGTAAAAAATTTGTGATCTATTTTTGGTGTTTATACTGTGGTTGTACAAAATATATGTATCTAGTATGGATGACTAAAGCTGAATGCAATGAATTAATGAAACTAATGAGTAATCATTAATATTTTTTCATTTCTGTTTTTAAATATTTTTTTCCAATTAACTTATCAACTTATCATGTTTTAAATTAATAATTTTAAACTTGTGCTCTAACTTATCTCAAGATTTTCTGATGTGCAGCATAAATGAACAAATATGAATCTGTGTCTATTCTAATATTTACTAAAGTACTAACTGTTTCTATAGTTTAAACATGTATGACGTTTTAAGAAAATAATTTTGTATATTTTTCAGATTTATGTGATTTAATTTTTATTATAAGACTTATTTATATAGTTTATTGTATAAATTTGGAGCATTTTTAATATCAATAAAATGTAGGTTATAAATGCAAATTCCTTTATATTTGATTAAAAATTAATTTTACAGAGGATCCTTATACAGGGTGGCGTCTCTCATACGCCGCGGAGGCTCCAAGGAGAACGACAGTTTATATTGAAATGAAATTTTGTGAGCATATGTCGATTAATTCAGAGCACTTTTTAAAAATATAGAGAGCTCTACAGGGTGTCTCCAAAAAAAGGTACATATCAAAGTTGTGTTTTTTGTAATGAAATACCCTATATGTTAATTGATTTTCGGATTTTGGGGGAAAAATAAAGGTAAGTTTTATAAGAGAAAGTATATGATTAAAATGTAAAGTTTTTGACATATTTAACATTTTCTAGAAATAAAGAACAATTTTTAAATTACAAAAGTTACCTAAATTGAAATTTACCCTAGCCTAATATGTAGTTAAATTAACTATTGTATTTTAAATGAAATTAAACTTGATCCAAAATGTTATACAGGGTGACAAAATTAATATTGAACATTGGTCACCTTTAAAAGCATGTTACTCTCTTATTTTAAATGGAACACCCAGTATATTATTCCGATATTCAGTGGAGAATTCATATCTCTTCAAAATGCTATTAAGATTGCCTACCTTTCAAACAAATATTTTCCTAGATATTTTCATTTACATGATTTGATCTGAGTAGATTATTTGATAAAATCTAGGGTGGCTGTTATATGGCTGACGTTACTTCAACAATAATTAGTCCAATTTTAACAACTATCATTTTGTGTCAGTTAAAACAAAAAATTTCTCAGAAATTAGCCGAAAATGCAAACTTATCCTACATCAGAGAGAATTGATATAATTCTATTAGTTTGGTTTGGAATGCAGTGTGCATTCACCAATTAATAGAATACTTAAATGCTCCTGATTTTATCTAGTCTGGTTTTTTATGGGGATATGTTAAAGACAGTGTTTACAAAACTCGACCAACTAGTGTCGACAACATGAGAGAAATTGTTGTAGCTGCTTTTCGAGATAGAACTCCACATACGCCTTTTAAAATGAAAATATCCTTTTGAAAAGACAATCATTTTATGCAGTTAACAGGAAAGGAAGCATCTTGAGCATTCGATTTCATCTAGCTAATTTTTGTCGCATAATTATAGGTTTATGTCTAGTCTTAATTCTGTAATAATTAAAATATGTTTTAAACGTGTATCTTTTTATTACCCTTGAGTATTTTACTCTACAAAACTAACTAAAAACTAAAAAAAAAGGTTGAAACCAATGCAATCAAAACCCGCTATCTACACATTAACCCAACTTAAGGTCCGCCGACCGCCAAATCGTATATCAATTCGTTAAGCGGCGCGCAAACCAGATCGGTGGCGTTGCGGAGAGTAACGGTACATGTACTATATGTACGAACGCAGTATATGTATGTACGAACTGCAGTATAACTAAATTGAAGAGAGCACACTACCGCGATCTGGCGAACGCGCCCGCCTTTTCTTGCAGCGAAGTACCGCGCGGAACTTTGCGGACGGCGGTACAGTAGATTAGAACGCTGCATGCACCATTTGCCCGCCAGTTCGCACGATAGTTAACAAGTAGAATCACCCTAGTTATCATGTACAGAAAAAAATATTGAAAAAGTGCGTGTGCAACCAATTTTATAAATATGATTTATCTAATAAAGCCAAGAATAATAGTATATTGTTCTATTAGGAGTAAAAATGATACATTTTGTAGCGTACGCTAAACGTTTGACGCGTAAAAATGCTTTTCTTTTATGCCCAGGTGTTAAAATGGCGTTGTTATATTGTCAATCACGTCGTAAAAATTAATACTTCTATGACGCTGAAAAAAAAAGATGTTTGTTCAATCTTCATTATTATTAAAAATGAAAATTTGTAACAATCTTCTCTAAACGGTGCTGACACTGATCGCCAACTAGCTCTGTTATCTATGACCGCGGACCGCGTTGGTGTGCGGATGTTCGCGATCGCATTGTGACCGCACCGCTACCGCGCCCGCCTGCGCTCCGGTGTTGATTGTTACAAATTTTCATTTTTTATAATAATGAACATTGAGCAAACATCTTTTTTTCCAACGTCACAGAAGTATTAATTTTTACGACGTGATTGACAATATAAAAACGCAATTTTAACGCCTAGGCGTAAAAGTAAAGGCTGGTTTACATTGGTATTAAAAGTAGTAGAGTTCACTAGCATACTTTTTTTCTAAAACACTCTACTTTGCCCAATTTGGTAGAGTAACTGTATACACGTCTCCAGTAATTTGAAAAGATAGTTCAGTTTAAAGTGTGTGACAATGAACAAGCAGGTTAGGCAATGGAGATTCCTTTACCAGAACCTTCTACACTTTTTATGAAAGAATCAATTAAAGGAAACCATTTAATATTTGGAACATAGACATCATTTAAACCAGAACCTGATTTTTTGACTTTTTTATTTTGTTAACTTCTTGATTATAACTACACCTCAAATTTTTAATTTTTCGTTTTAATTCATCTAACCTAACCAAAATTTTCCTTTGATATACAGGGTTGTTCACCACATACGACACGGAGTATTGTAGCTAAACGACTAGATTTTTACAAATTGTAAGTTTTGGGTTCGTTGAAGGACTATTAGAGCTACAATTTAAAAATATTTTTACAAGGTACAGAGTGTCCCAAATAAATTAAAAATATCAAAGTTGTATTTTTTTAAATGGAACACCCTATATATTATTACATTTTTAGTTTCTATAATTAAAATAAAGGTAAATTTGATTAAGGTTTATTACACTTAAACCTTACCGTTTTTGAAATATTTTCAATTTTGTGAAATTGCAGTATAAATTTTAAGGCTTCATTTCTCAAAGTTTTTAACACTAAATATTTACTGAAGTTTATTTATTGATCAGTTATTGTGTTGCAATAATAAAAACTTTACTACCTTATACAGAGTGTCTAAAAATTTATTTTAAATAATTACTAGCTTTAAACGGCAATAACATGTTTAATTTAAATGGAACACCCTGTATATTTTATGAGAATCAGATGCACAATTTAATTGTCTATCAAATTGTATTATACCATTTTTTACCTATCTCTTCAAGTTTCCGTAGAAAATGAATTTTCTTGTAATTTAGAACTCATTTATCAATATACCCATGGAATACTGACATTTTAGATTATTTTTAAAGATGTACCAAATTTTTAAAGAGTACAGATACTAATATTGTCGATATAGTTCGTTTATTTCATTAAAAAAATTAAAAAAAACTGTTTAAATATTTATTAAAGAGGACCAATTAATATGATTCCAGTATTCAACCTACATTAATTGACTGTTTGGGTTGATTAATAATAATTGCTCCAAATACTGAAAAACTGAATTATGTATGTGTATTAGACAGTGTGGTAAAAAGTAACACCTTAAAAATGATATTTAATTTTTTGACAAATGCTTATTTATAACAACAGAGACGTTCATTTTCATACCTTATTATTATATTGATTTCTGATTCAAATCCACATTTATTTAGAATAATTTATTAACGAACACAATTAAGTATGTAGTTAATTAGTATTTGGGCGGAAATACTGGTGGTATATTTAATTAATGGTATACTCTTTTATAAAGATTTAAATAGTTTTCTTTTTGCATACAAATGGGCTACTAATATTATGGTTTTACTAAAACCGATAATATTACTAGCCTGTACATTTTGTACATTTGTTGTTTTAAAAACAATCTAAAATGTCAATATTCCATTGATATATTGATAAATGAGGTCTAAATTATAAGAAAATGCATTTTCTACGAAAACTTGAAGGAATAGGTAAGAAGTGGTATAATACAATTTGATAGACAATTAAATTGTGCATCTGATTCTCTTAAATATACAGGGTATTCTACTTAAATTAAATAAGTTATTGCCGTTTAAAGCTAGTAATTATTTAAAATAAATTTTTAGACACTCTGTATAAGGTAGTATAATTTTTATTATTGCAACACAATAACTGATCAATAAATAAACTTCAGTAAATATTTAGTATTAAAAACTTTGATATCCTCGGAGAAAGGAAGCCTTAATATTTATACTGCAATTTCGCAAAATTGAAAATATTTCAAAAACGGAAAGGTTTAAGTGTAATAAACCTTAATCAAATTTACCTTTATTTTAATCGTAGAAACTAAAAATGCAATAATATACAGGGTGTTCCATTTAAAAAAATACAACTTTGATATTTTGTATTTATTTGGGACACTCTGTATCTTGTAAAAATATTTTTAAATTGTAGCTCTAATAGTCCTTCAACGAACTCCAAACTTACAATTTGTAAAAATATCATCGTTTAGCTACAATACTCCGTGTCGTATGTGGTGAACAACCCTGTATATTTTACAATTTCTTTGTAGGTCGCTGATCTCATTGATCTATTTCTATAATTAGGGCGGCTGATATTCCATATACACTCGTAATCCTTGTATACTGCCACTAATTTCGTAGTTTCAGATTCCGTCCACTTCATTTTCTTTCATACGTAAGCAAAATTTTAAGTTTTAATTAAGAAGTAAAAAGAGATCGGCAAGCACAAGAAACATCCAAACACTCACCTCTACTAAAGCTAAACTAGTGCCTGTTTACACTGGTATACTAAACTAGCAAACCGGTAGAGTAGAGTAAGATGGTGATAGTGGGGGTAGGCTAGTAGAGTGTACTATTCCACAGTGCTATCCACTCTACTCGCCCTTAGACTATCTATAGTACTATAATGTAACTAGCACAAACTGTTTACATTATTCTAGTAGTGGGATAGTACGCACTCTACCACCGTACTCTACTACTATTAATACCAATGTAAACCAGCCTCAAAGCATTTTTACGCGTCAAACGTATAACTTCGCCACGAAAAGTATCATTTTTACTCTTAATAAAACAATATATTATTACTCTTGGCTTTATTAGATAAATCATATAAAATTGGTTGCACACACACTTTTTCAATATTTTTTTTCTGTATTACACATGATAACG